CTATTGATTTTTTCTGTTTTATATAGTGTTTCTATATGTTATGAATATATTGTAAAATGATAAAAGAGTTTTTTTCTGTAGGATTACCTGGGTCTTGAATTTTAGTAGTAGATATATATGAGTATCTAGTTCTATAGCATATAATAAAGTATTTTGTTGATTTTCTCTGTGCTCTATCCATTTTGATTTCAATCTAATTTGCTACTTCTCTGTAAAGAATATTATCTTATTTTGTAATTATATATTTAATCTCTTTGCTATTACTTGTAAATCTTCTTATCTATTATTGTTAACTATTTTATAATTTAATTCAGTCAGTTTTTTATAAATTTTCTAGATTTTATTCTCTAAGGTAGCTAGAGATTTGTATGCTTTAATAATTAATTTGATAATATATTTGTGTAAGTCTTAGCTAGTTATATTTTTTATACTAAGTAATTTATCTTTTATATCTTTTTGGATTTGACTAGCTTCATTTGTCAAATTTCTAATAAGATGTCTTTGCAAGATTTTGTATAAGTTGCAGTTTATATTCAACTAAAAGATAGTTGAAATTACTAAAATAAGTTTTATCATTCCTACAAAATTAACTATAAGTAGTATCTATGAAGATATAATTGAAACAAGTAGTTATCATTTGATTGCTACAGGTTTTTTTGTAAAATATAAGAAAGAGTTTTATCCCCACTACTTTTATGATATTGATAAAATTTACTATTTTGTTAATTAGTAGATCTCGAGATAGATCATTATATATTTCTGCTAAGCTAATTTGATTTTTATATAGATTTAAATTTACATTAAAATCTCTAGCTATGATATTGATAGAGTTGTCAACTAACTAAGAGGACTAGTTGTTGAGGAAGTTAATCTAATCTTTTATGTTTGGAGATGTATAAATATTATTAATTCTGAATAAATATTGTTTAAACTTAAATTTGGCTAATAAAATTCTGCTATTATAGGATTCTTTGATTTTTTCGCATTTTATTTCTTTATTTTTAGATAATATTACTATTTTCAAGATCTAGTAAGAGTCTAATATCTATTGTTGAGTAATAAAATTTCTAATAGAAAAATTATTTAAGTTGGTTTTCTGAATCATGATAATATCTAAATTATATGATTTTAAAAGAGTTATAGTTTCTTGATATTTGTATCTGTTATTCAAACCTTTAATATTTAATATTGCTAATCTAATTTTGTTATGCATTATTAAAATAATGAGTGCTGAATTCCTTAATAATCTGAATAGGGATTCTCTTTTCTTATATTTTTGTCTTTCTTATATAGATTGTACCTTTTGTTTGAGGCTAATTCATCAGCCTTTTTCCTTCTTCTGTTTTTTCTACTTAGTATTTCTGTAAATCTATCTTCCTCAACTGATTGTTCAACTCCTAATATTACTTTATCTGTTCTTTTAGCTAAACCTTCATTGTTACTTAGAATCTTTGGAGTTATATCTTTAGCTAGTATAGTATTTTCT